CTAGGAAGCTTCTCAAGCAGCTTCCACGAGGTTGAAAACTTCTCAAATAGCTTCTACAAACTACAAAGCTTCTCTAGAACCTTCTACAATCTTCTACAACTTCCTAGTGTATGTTCTTTACAGTTATATGTTTCCAATTGTTATAATACCACTCTTAAAACAAATTCTATTGTCTCTATTTCTATAAAAAAATATATTGGAGAAGTTAACAAGATACAAGATTGGTACAAAAAAGAAAGTTGTTTTTAAAGTTTCAAAAGATTCTTTAGATTCTTTGTTCTATGTAAGATTGTCTTTATATGTAAAACATGTAAGAAGAGCCATAACTAGAGAATTTTTTTTAATGAAGATATAATATTAATAGATATTTTCTAAAAACATTGAACATCCATTACTATTTTGAAACAATTTCAATCTATAATAATTTGAACCTATTCAAAATAAATTATCAACAAATTATTAAAAATAATACATCCTAAGAATTTTTCTTGACACAACAAACATAAAGTTTATTTTCTTTTTAATTCTTAAATTAGACTAGAATATTCTCAAAATAATAGTAAACAATATTGTTCAAATTGCAAAAAAGCTCTTTCTTGAGGAACAATTTAATAATCACATAAACAAATATTTAGAACAATATTTGTGTTTACTTTCTGAAAAATATCTTAATAATCTTACTATAGACTCAAAAATGCCAGTTGTAGTCTTTTCAATCAAAAAGTATATAAAATCTTATAAATATTTATATTAGTTGTACATCTGTTTTTATTTTTTAAAATATAACATCCATGAAAACCAAAATAAAGAATCAAGCAAGTCCTTTCAATTAAAAAAACAAGATTTAGTATAAATTGCAATGTCTCTTTTATCTTTATTTGTGATTATTGTATATTTGTGGTGCCAAACAAAGAAAAAAAACAACAACCAAAAAATTTAATTCAAAATCTTGCATTTGCCAAATAACTTATGAGGCATTAAGCTTATTACAATAAAATCATATATATTGAATTTAAATATTTATTAGATATAATAAAAATTTACTTGTACAAATGTCTTCTAAAAGTTCATATAAATTTTTAATATTTTTAATTTTTATCACTAAGTAAGTTTCTTAAAATACAACAAAAAAATGGAGTGATATACTTACTTTTAAAACAAATTAAGAATAGTAAATTAACACTCTTATCAAATTTTCAAGGATATGAATCACAAAGAACCAAATGATCAATACATTCTTGTGTCACTTGAAGAGAGTAGATATTCACTCAAAGATGGTATAATATTAAAACTAAAATAACCATTGTTAAAGATAAGAAGACTAAAGACTCTTAAAACAAGAATAAGAACAAAAAATGTATTATTGAAGGTGAAGAAGGCCTTCTTCTTGCCTCCATATATACTATCAAACTAGAAGCTATGTGGCAACATTCTATAAGACCTCCAATACATGTCTAACTTGAAAAATAAGTTTCTTATATATGCATCATATGGCCAACTTGTACCACAAGTCATCAATATGTATGCAACATGTGGCCAACTTGGCCAAGTTTTCAATCTACTAATCACCTACAAATATGTAAAAAGTCGAATTTGTATCTATAAAGCTTTAAAAAGCTTTTTCACAATATATTATCTAATTTATTTACTTCTATTTATTTCTATTTATTTCTATTTAATTCATTTAATTTAGATAAATATGTATATTTGTGATAGTGAAACATGTAGATAGATGATATCTTTTTTGAGAAATATTGAGAAAGTTAATCAAACATAGATTAAATCTTTAGATTCTTATAAAAACTTTATGTGGCTATTCAAACTTATTCCATAAGTTTTTTACTTTTAGAAAGCCAAATCAGAAGCAACCTACAAATTGACACTTGTACAACAAGTCTTGTGGTCTTTAAGAAGCTTCTATAAGGCATTCTTTATAACTAGTATATATGAAGACAAGAATGAAGCTATTATCAATCTTATCAATACCTTTCTTATATTCTAATATTGATTTAAGCCTTTCTAGTTTCTTTGTAATTAATAACATTATTTCTAATTTTTATCTATCTTATATGTATCATTTTTTCTTCTTATTTTTTTGTTTCTTCAACAATACATGAATGCATTGTCTTTTGAGTTTTGTCTAGATTCATATCCTTGACAATTTGATAAGATTAATACTCATATTATCAAATCTTGATAATTTTTGATAAAAGATTGAAAGGAATATAAATCTTTAGATATCAAAATAGAAATGAATTGAAAACATGTTCATGGATTTTGACATAGAAAAAGAAATCTTAGTTAGTATTTGTTTTATAATTTATTTTAAATTATCTTCAACATAATATTTTATTTTTTTGTTTTTAATTTATAGAAAGTATGTCTAGTCATCTATAATAAGTGCCACAAATAATTTTATATATGCAATGGCATGTATTAGACTAAATATCTTATATGATGTAAATTTAATTAGAAAATACATGACAAATCTAAAAATAAAATATCAAAAGGTAGTGAAACACATACTTTGCTTTCTAATAGACATTATATATGCTTGCATCTTGTTTAATGTAAAATGTGAAAGTAAAAAAACCATCACATGATTTGCTCATATCTTGACAACGGTTGATAGACCCTAAAATACAAAGGTATCTAGTTGAGTTTACTATAGTTCATTTAACAACTACAGCACATTGGTCATGCATTCCGTATTCTATACCCTATCACAAAGTTTTCATAAGCAAAGACAAGAGAGGGGAGTCATCAGAAGGTGCGGGGGCAGGAGCCAGGTAACATGGAGCAGAGCAGCTTGGAACCGAAGTGGAGAGGAGAAAAGAAGAGTTTAATTTGGTCTCCATCATCTAACGGAGACGATGCGACGCAAAAATGCATTTGTCTAATCCCAGGTTCGAACTGGGGACCTCTAGTGTGTGAGACTAGCGTGATAACCGACTACACCAACCAGACCAGTATGCCAAACATCTCGAGCGACCCTTCTTGACAATCATTATGGAAGTTTATTACTTATTTAATATCCAAAAATATCTACTAGCAAACAATGACCTGCAGTGTTTCCCTGGAAGTAAGATTCTAGTTTCATAGTGTAACACAAAGTTATCGTCTAAACGCTGTTTATGCGTATGGCCACGCTACCTCCTGCTGGGGTCTTCATCAGCGGATCGATGTTCATTTTCTCAGCGCCTTACCTTTCCTATGACAGAATTCACATCAGTTTCGGCAGTGGCAATACGCCTTTGCTACAAGCAGAAGTGGTGGAGATGTGCTCTTTTTGCTTCAATTTTGTGTTTACGATACGTGATCAAGTGAGTTTCTGCTAGGTCACCTTGTTCTTGGAAGGGTGAAGTGCATTCCTTGTCGTGTGGACTTTCATCCTGCAAGCAGCTAAGGGCATGGATTGTGCTCATGCATGTAGTCTCATTTCGCCCGCAAAGTTTGGGGTCACTGTGCACCTTGTGGTTTGTTTAGTGGAGGGTCTGCTGTGGATTGCTGTAGAACAATGCTTTACGAGCATTCACTGTACCCACTGCGCTACCAGCAGCATTGATCCAAGAGTTAGAGTTGAGCGCCTTGGAGGAGGGGATGGGCCACCATCATGAACGTCAACAACAGATCCTGTTGATCTTGCAAATTTGTGCACTGCACCGATCATTCAAGCTTGGTCATCTGATCTAGCATGGCAGTTGCCTGTATTTGCCATGCACCATTCATCTGCCACGATGTCCACGAATGGTTTTAAAATGTGATTCCTCCGTCTCGTTTGAGTGCAGATTTCTCAACCCTCTGTTATCTTAACAATCACGGAGAGGGATTAACCGGAATACTTTAAGAACTTCGAGGCGCACCTTTCGAAGCACGGTGACGAGGAATTGGAAACCTTCATGCTTTACCCCTATTGGAGAGTAAATCTACTTCCAATCCGTACAAAACCTTTCAGTAGATCTCTCTCGGGAGCTAAATCATGCACAACCTTGAAAGTTCTTTCCCTTCTCTTACTTTCGAAACAAATGCGTCGCCCACAATGTATGGGGACCACGCGGTACATTTACCATTCGAAGGTGCGCCCTGTCAACAAACAAAGCGTTGGGCTCATTGGAGGTGAGATTGTGCACAGCTTTCAATGCAAGCTGTTACTACGCAGATGTGAATTCTTGCCCGTGAGTCAGCACTACAACGTACGTCATCGTAGTCCGATCGCACGCGGCCGATAGGCTGTGACGATTAGCCGTTTAGCAACACGATCCTCGATGCTGCGTCACCTTGTTTGGAATCTCATTTCAGGACGTCGGCATCGCAATGGCTAGAATAAGGCACCCTGAACACATTGCCGTCTACATTTCGGAACAGCACTGGGCGCTTGTCCAAACAGCGTTCACGCTGCTACCAGTGGTTCGAAAACCCTATAGACAAACTACCGAAGTAGCGTCTACTTCGTTGCTACCAGTGATCGCGTCAATGTGCTCAGGTCACTCCACACCTCACGGTTGGCGTATTGAAGCCTTCCTACTCACGATCGACACACTCCACCCTCCGAAACAGAGATTGCTTTACCACTTAGCCCCTTTTCCATTTCCACCCTGACACTCGATTGTCAAGACAAATTCGTTAATTCGTACGGCGCGTGAGACAATCGATCTGCCTGCAAGTGACTACTGCTTCAGGCCAACCAGGTCTGCCGGCACCGGGCTCTCAGAATTTCGGACACGTCACCGCTGAGATTACCCGCTTCCCAATTCTCACATGCAGTGCAGAACATTGGTGGGGTTTCAAAGTGCATACACCTACTGCACCGCATGTCATTGCGAATATCTTCGCTCACAAGTAACATCACAAACACACGTAGCGTTCACCCGGAACAGCGACCGGGGACCAGGACCTCCACCGCCATTCCCTTCTTGGCAGCAAGGGCTTCCAAGTACCACCACTGCGTCCAAGCCGCATTGGAGCGGGCAGCATTGGTTGCAACCTCTGACACATTTGCAGTATGTAAATGCGGTCATAGCCGTGAGAATAAAATGGGCAAAGTCCTGCTACGCTTCTCCTGGAGAAGAATCGTAACGGAACCACCGAGTACACAGAAGAATCATCAAGCCTGCTCGATGCAATGGAGCACACGATGACCTTGCTCCTGAGGGAGAGCAGAACTGCTAGAACCGCTTCACAGACTCGCAATTCATACGATAACAATCAGCTTTTACTGCTGAACTAGCTGTCGACAATGGTTGAAACCCCAACTACTAATGCGTGAACAGACCATCAATCAAAACGGAAGCTCGTAAGAGCTCCCAATATCTCTGCAGCCGAGGGGCAGGGGAGAGGGCTCAGAAGTTCTTGACGTGAACCTATCCTCTGCTACAAAGACACAAACGCCAGCCTTATTTTGACCAGAGAACTGAAAAGCGTTCCACACAAACGCTCCCACATCCCCGCTGTCACAATGCTGACACTGTGCACAAGTTAATCCAAGCAAATTCTAGCCTAACAACACCATGCGAGCTGGCGGTGATGGTCATCTGCAAGATGAACTTCATCAGATCGTGCAGGCACGGTCTAGAATATCGGTGATGTCAGCATCAAACTGCGCGACCTGGACTCAATTGCCGCCGAACAGGTAACCCAAAGATGACCCTCCACCGGGAGCAGCATGAACCTTGGTCGAAGGTCGGTCCTGCAGACAGAAACACAGAGTCACGTGTCAGCATGCGGCATCAACAAAACACTGGTGCACTGACAATCACGCACGCACAAAGCCGACATACACGCGCTTCGCAACCAAGGCTAACTATCCTTCGTCAGCAAATCTCGCGACAATAAAGCAATAGCACATCAGAGCACAATTCTGATATGCACCTGCTTCGGTCAAGAGATGAGACTGGGAGCTTACATCACGTCAGACACCTCACAAACACGGAAGACTACCACCACACAAAGTTAGCACCACACCATGTGTCGGCATCACGATCGCGACTGAATGCAGGTCACGCTCGACACACAGGGTGCGAGGCACCACCACTGGGGAAGAGGAAACCGTCGCAGTTCGCGTGCAGCGCGGTTCCTCTGCCTGGGGCGATAAAACACAGCAGCAAGTCCTGGCGACGATTGCACTCTCCCAACCCAACGAGAACTACACTCAACAATCGCAGCCCCGAAAGAACGCCACACCAGACCATGATTTCGCAACGAGATACACTTGGACAAATGGGTGTCCGAGTTGAGGAACACTCACAGTGATGAAGTTGCCGGTATTCTGCCCGTCGGCGCGGTGGTAGTTGTTCGAGTTCCGGCCCAGCTTGGGAGCGCCCTTGTCACCCGCGTCGTCCGCTTTACCCACGGGCGCGGCCTTCTCCTCTGGGACATTGCTCCTCGCCAACCCGGCCGGTCGCTGCTCCACTGGAGCCTGGGGCTCCGGGGCGGGCGCCTTCGCTACGGCCTTGGGAGGGCCGGCATCGGATCCGAACAGGTACCCGAGGGAGCTCTGCCCTCCTCCGCTGCTTCCACCACGCACCATTGTCTCCGCCTCTCTACTCCAATCTGCTCCGCCACACAACAACAACACCAACACCAACACAACGTCCCGTAAGAAAATCGCAGCCTCCAACCTATGCCACCCCCATCGCACACGCTCACACCCCAGCTGATCCACACATCACCACGCGTCCTCGCGCGCTACGCCATTCACGGATCTCGCAAGCTCTCCATCCCACCACTCAACATCGCTCCAAACCCCACATCCACACTTCCACACGCAACCCATCCCTCTCCCCCTCTCTCCCTCCCTCCCTTCGCCACCACCACCGCTACAACCAATCAACCAACCAACCAATGCCGCCCCGCGAACCGCACCACTCACCCCGCCCCCTACTCCCCCCGCTCTTCCCCCACATTTTGTCCCTAGCGCATGAACAATATGCAAAGAAAGTAGTAAAACTCAGAAGGACATAAACTTGTTAGAGCCGGAAACAGGACAAAGAATTTTGGAGACAGACCTGTCGCGTTCACTGCGACGCGATGGAGGAGATACGCACCTAGCTGTGGCAGCGTGCAGTGTCCAAAGGACACGGCCAAAGAATTCGAAGAGGCGGCGAGAAGCTGAGTGCTGAGGAGGGAGACGATGGCAGAGAGAGTGAGAGAGATAGAGAGGTGGAGAGATGGTGCAGCAGCAGCGGTGGTATGGAGCAGACACACAGTGTGCTTGAAGCGAAGGCGGGGGATGAGGACAGTGGCAGTGGGATATTTTCGTTGGGGGGGATGGGTAGGGCCTCCCTCACAAGCTACCTTCGTGGGGTGGGGAGTAACGCGTCCCCTGTCCCTCCCCTTTTGAGCCTCATTTGAATTGGCCTTCGTATGTGTGGGCTCTTTGAATTGGATGAGCGGGGTCACTCACACCGCCTTGACTGGTGGTCCCTTTCTGATGCCCTGGATTGTTTGATGTTGGTGCCTATTCCCTAAAGAATTGGGTCTGTTTTGCCTAAATCCTTAGTTTTTACTTATTACCTATTTAGCGTTTGTTTGACTTCTGCTTTAATATCTAATGTGGAAAAGTTCGAATTCTGTTGTTTGCATTGAGAACATTGATGTATTGTTGAATCACATAGTTCCATTGTCTCGGTTTTTATGTTTCCCAAGCACATGGGTGATTGATTAGTGAAGTCTGAATGTTTGTGTTGGGGTTTAATGATGCATATTAACATGATTTTTAAATGAATAATGCAGTGTTTTTCATTAAGATATTATTATTCTTTTGTCATTATTTCTTAACACTTTTATTTTTTATTTTATTTTTGTAGCATTTTTGCATTTTTATGGGAATTATAATAAAAAATTAAATGATATGATGGAATTACACCCCACATCAACAAAAGTTCTACAAAATGTCAAAATTCCCTACTTAATTAGTGATGATGAATTGAGTAACTGTAGTAGCAGCAGTTATTTCAAAGATAATTGAGATTTTATAGTATGTAAAAGATTACAATTAAACTGTATTAAGAAATCAAATTGAAATCTACATTATTTAATTTAATTTAATTTAAGTAATATTCTTAATAATTATATGTACATTGTTTTGATAAATGATTTGGTCTATGATAATAATAATAATTATTATTATTATTCTTAATATTATATATGTATGTGTATTTTGAGGTATTATAATAAATAATGTATTAAATTATTTATGAATAATAATGTGTTTGGTAGAATACAACAATTAACTTTTGAAAGACAATATTCATAAAGATGAAAATAATACATAAATTTAAGATGTAAAAAGAAAACATCAATATTGAAGTACGGTGTAAAAGTTCATAAGATAATTTGATACAAAGGCTTGATTGAGGACAAATATATATATATATATATATATATATATGTATTCATGAATAGATGTCCACCTTTTAGGCAACAAATTGTTTTTAATTTTAGATGAGAATTGGTGGTGAAAAAAACTGGGAAATCTAAACACTACTGATTCTATCCATTTAAACATAGTTTCTAAATATACAATAGATTATCCAAGAAAATGCATTAAACAAATATTATATCACAAAGATGTTTGTATTGTATAAAAGCTTATATGTATGCAAGCAAAATGTAAAATTAATGTTGTTTCATAATATTATACTTTTTTGAATCACTGTATTTTGTAGTGCATTTTTCATAATTTTAGTATACATTTTATTATTACAAAAAATACATTATATATATACATATATTTTGAGTTATTTTAATTTTTTTGAATTGACATAAATTTTATAATCTACCACATTTAAGTCAAGAGATATTTGGAGTACATTCATAGAAAGATTACAAAAAAAAGATGGGTTTTGCATTGAAGTCAAAATGTTTTTGAAATCTCGAAATTAAATTGTAAAAACACACACACACACATTGACATACATACATACATACATACACACACACACACACACACACCTACATATATATATATATATATATATACATACTCACACACACATTTACACATGTGTATGTTTTCAATGAATACCATGCGTAATTAAAGGATCAATCGATTTTAAATATCTATGTATATATATATATATATAAATCTTTTTTTTTCAAATTTGAATTATCCATAGCAAGCAACAGGCGATAAGCCTCGTTGGTGGGGGATAGGAGATGGAGCCCTAATCCTAGCCAACAAGGCCCTGCCACCCCGCTGCAAATCGGTCAAGGCATGTGCAACGAGGAACCAATGCCAGAGCCAATCAAGGTGGATGAGTCTGTGGGCTTAAGGATGAATTATTCAATAGATGAACATCATCCGTCCCCACCGGGTACAAAGCGCAGGACCCTCTTTTCCCTTGCCCGAGGAATATGCAGCCACGTCCTCGGTCAGTCTCAAAATTCTTTTTCTGTGCCCGCGGGCCCCTGACGGATGCCTTTACAGTGGATCCTACGAACGTCCACGATCTATTATTAACTTTTTATTCATATGGATGTTGCTTTGATAAAGATCATCCTCATCCTTCCAGCGTATTGCAATTGGGTGGAGTTTTTGGGGATCCTTTGAAGTTATTGGGAACTTGAGCTATACTAAGGGAACGTGGCTACCGCTTCCAGGAGGAGAGGGTGGGGCGACGTCACCGGGGCAATGGGATCAGAACCCGTTCAGTGATGACGTTCTTTTCGTGGCCCTTCAGGACATGAGGATCAATAATCAGCACATGATCGCACTGTTGTCGTTTGGATGAATCTAGGATGAGTGTACGTTAGTTCAGTGGACCGAGAACCATGAACTGTTTGGTCCCTTCGGAGCTTTGTTTATTAATTGCATGGTTACAAACAATTGGAATTTCGAAATTTATTCACGTTCAGAAATATCTTTTCAAACATATATCAACTCCTTTCAAAATCATATACATATATATATATATATAACATGAGTCATTTTGGTGGTAGCATTGTAGTACCTAAATTCTACACAAATTTTGGTTATCATGTAATTTTTGGTTTTAAACCATTAATAGCAATCATGAAGCCCAGTTCATTATTTTTAATAAAACATCTTTTTTATTATATCTCTCAAATTATACTAAAGTGCTTACAAGTAGTGAATATTCTTTGAATAACAAGTTTTGCAAATTGGAGATAGAGCCAAACATAGTTCAATACAATGTTATACCAAGTATGTACATATACAAAGAAGACTAACATAGACTGCACAAATAGATCTTCAAAACACCAAAACTACATTTTGTCTTGTTTAATATACATGTTTCAAAAGAACCACTCTTTCTACTTTTGTACAATGCATTTTTGGTTCCTAAATTGAGAAAGCAATTAAGATTGCATATTTTTCTTGTCAAATTTTCTAAAATTTTGAGTTAATTTAGTATTTTTGAATAGGAACTATATCAACAAATATTTCTTTTGAAATCTAAAATTTACATTTTATTACATCATTTTTAAATATAAAAAAATAGTAGTATTAATATAATCCTAAGTAAACCTAAAAGAAGCTGATAATGATTTTTAACAAAGACATCTAAAGTTAATTTTTTTGATTGATAGGATCTTTTATCAAATTATAATAAACCAATATTCTAAAGGATATAATATAAAATCTTATGTGATATATTATTTTGAAATTAAACTTAATTATTTATTCTATTTAGTAAAATTTGAAAAAAAATATCTTATCTACATGTTGTCATAATAAAATATTGCAACCTTCTTAGAAATCTTTAATAAAGTTTAATATAAAATTTATAATACATGAAATAAAATAAATATAAATAATAATATTTTTAAATATAAGACAATACTGACTAGATCTAAGAATTTACTAAATTTATCCATCCATCAAAACCATCATGAAAAAAAATAACCACTAGATTTATTTCTCGACTATTAGATCTATAATTAATGAAAATCAACTATATTCATTATGATTACTATTTTTTTTCACGATAGTTGATGTTGTGAGGTAGACAAAGGTGAGAGCTTGTAGAAGTACAAGTATCATGGACATACATTGGCATTCTAGTAAATACTTATATGATTAGATAGGAATAGGTAAAAGTAGATAAAAATATGTTAATTTCATAAGAGCTTTTAGAGAAGCTTCCTAGAAGCTTTATAGATGCTTCTTGACTTTACATGAGTTTGTAGTTGATTGATAGATTAGAAACTCGGTCAACAAGTTAACCATGTGTTGGTAGCTTACAGAGAAGTCTAACTATATGGCGCACATATAGAAAACTTACCTTGCAAGTTAAGATACATGTCTTGCAAAGTCAACACATTTTGGAGGTCTTATAGGACATCACCTTGTAACTCCTAATTAAGAGTATATATGGAGGCAAGAGTGAAACCTTCTTTACTCTTGTCAATACCTTTCTAGTCCCTAGTCTTGTTCTAAGACTTTCTAAACTTCTTGTTTTTGGCAATAGTTATTCTAGTTGAATATTATATCATCTTTGAGTGACTTTCTAGCTCCTTTAATGATACATTAGTGTATTAAGAATTTTCTTTCTTTAAGATTTATGTCCTTGATAGTTTGACAAGAGTGCTAATATATTATTTTTGTCTTGTTTTAGAAGTGAGTCAATTACTCTGCTTCTACTATTGTATTTTGAAGGTTGCGAACTACCCAACTTTAAATAAAAAATCTTATTTTTTAATAATGATATTTTCTTTAAAGACAATGGAACACTCTTTTTTATATATTTTTTTTTATTAGAGGTTGTAGACTACACTTCTCTAATTTAATTTTTTGAATTTATTTGAGTTATCAACAGAAGAAAAGATTATGGATGCTACTCTTAATACAAGTGAGAATAGATTGATAACTATTACAGATCTTCATAAGCTTATCAATACTCTAAGAATAAAAATGTCATGTATTTCTAATATGAATCATAGAGGTACTATATCTATACATATGAAAAAAGTTCAGAGTTTGCGATAAGAAGTTGTCTAGTTGAAGGAAGCAAGTAGGTTGACCTTATAACCAAATCCAAGGAATTTTGCTTCTATAAGTATGATTGATAGGGACAAGAATGAGTATGCTTGAGAAGTTTGATGGAACAAGATCAAAATTTTGAGGATTTTTGCAATAAGTCAAGCTCTATCTAAAGTTGCATCATTTTTAATACCCTCGTAGTTTCATTCAAGTCGGATTCATAGGTGTACTTCTATCAGGAAGTGCTCTCTCTTGGTTTGTATTTTTAATAGAAAAAGATTTGAAACTTTTTTATGATTTGAATTCATTTCTAAAAGTATTTACGACCATATTAAGAGAAAGTGATCAAGATAGAATAGCAGAGACCAAACTCTTATCTTTACAGCAAAGATGACGGTT